CAGCAGTATAAACAGCATAAACTCAACAGCAAACTCATCTCGTGAACACTTCTACCTACAACTTCTAAGCTGCTCTGAGGATTCCAACGGCATCTCCCAACAACAACAACAACAGCCTAAACAGGAGAACATTTCTTCAGTTCAAAACTTGGAAAATGAAACAAACAACAACAACAACAACAAAAACGTCAGTAACAATTTCAACATCGTCAACAGTGCTATCCTCAAAAAAGCTAACAAAAAAAATAAAAATAAAAAACAAACACTTCTTGAATCAGCCGGTATAGGAAATGTGTATTGAAATTTTATTAAAAAATAATAAAAAAAACGCAAAAAACCGACAATACAAAAATAATCACTTTCGCTTTCGTTTTGAGATACTTAACGATAATATATATAACTCATACTTTGGACGTTGATCATCATCCCTATCTACCGAATCATCATTATCTTCACCATTATCATCGTTCTCGTCATCACCATAATCATCATCATAGTCATCGTTTTCATCGTCGTCATCATCACCGTCACCGAAATACGCCATCATGAAAGTCATCATCATCATCATCATCATGGTCATCATCACCATCATCATCATCATCGTTGACGTCATCATCATCATCATCATCATCATCATCATCAGGGTAATCATCATCATCATCGTCATCATCATTATACTCATCATTTCTCGGTATGAAAAGCAAGCCAATAACAATCAATCACCGTCAAGCCAATAGATCAATAAATAAATAAATAAAATGAACATCCTCATTGATAAATGATTATTATCATCTTCTTGTTATATCATCCTAAACGCCGCCATCATTATCAAGATAATCACCATCATCGTCTCGTCATTATCATCATCATCGTCATCATCATCGTCATTATCATCTTTATTATCATCATCGTCGTCATCATAATCATCATCATCATCATCGTCGTCTTCATCACCGACGAAACAGTTTAAATGTAAAAACAGTCGTCATCGTCGTCGTCATCTTCACCATCATCGTGACGTCTCCGTTATACTCACTTTCATTAGCCTCCTCATCCTTCTCATCATCATCATCTTCATAGGAATCATCATTATCATCATCGTCAATATCATCATCATTATCATCACCTTCTTCCACAAACGGCAGTCTCATTCTTATGCGCCATGCTAACATCTTTCATCAAATCTCAATTCACTTTTATTGGCTTTGACGTCATTTACTCACTTATTTACATGTGGGTATATATATTATATATATATATATATATATATATATATATATATATATATATGTATATATTTATTTATGTGTGTGTGTGTGAGTGTGTGTGAGTGTGTGTGTATATAATAATACACACGAAATGCCTCAAACGTAAATTTATGTTTTTGTATAAAGTTTTGTTTTAACAAATATAATGCGTTTGTATCGGCGTATTGATGAAAGAGTAAGCCAAAAGTTTTAATGATATTATAAATAGGAGAGGTGTAAGTAGTGAAAAGAATGGGACCAAGGACAGATCCTAGAGGGACTCCAGTAGATAAGTTGAAGCTGGAAGAGACGTGGGAACGATTCGAAAGATAAGATTAAAATCAGGATGAAGCAGATCCCGTGATACCACATTCTGCCTCAAGTTTGTCAATAAGCATCTGATGATTAATGGTATTAAAAGCTGCTGGAAGATCCAGGCTGATTTTTTTTGGTTTGCTGTGTCTGTGGTTTACTCGATATCGTGTTGTGGATTTTCAATTTTCCGTTATAATTACAATATGTACAAGTATGAAATAGGAAGCTTTATAAAAAAATTAAAAAAAATACATGCCATTTTTATTCATTTTTTAAATTTTTAAATTTATCTATATTTATACATATTTACAATGGTTTTTTCTTGATAAATTTGACAAAACCATTCATTTATTTATCACGTATTTTTTCGCGAATAAATAAAACAAAACCGCATCGTAATTTTATTTACAAGGTGAATTATAAGATCGGAGGAAGTCCGTGAATTCGATTGACGCCTCACTGACCGGGTTCGAATCCGTGATGAAGAATAGAAGAACCAGACTGACATGATTCATTCGATGTAAAACTTTTCAAAAGTTTTGGTATTTTAATGTGGTTGTTACTAGGAAACTTTTAAAATTTATTTTTATACATACTTAAATAAATTTATTATACATCATTATTATTATATATTAATTATAAAATTATTGCATATTAATATTATATTTATTATAAAATCAATTCATTATATCAAGTTCTATCTAGGTTATTTAGTTCTTTTTTAATTTGACGTAATTAGTAGTTTATTTGTTTACTTGTTTTCGTTCTATTCATTTTGTACCTACTTTTTAAAATTTGTATACCAATTCGTGTACAATTTTTTCGTACCATTCAAGTCTGGCTATAGAAATGGAAACTGAAACCAGTAAGTCCAAATCACGATAAAATTTGTATATAAAATATGAACTTTGAACTTGTAATAAGCCATTTCATCCATGCATCCATGCATCCAGCTATCCATGCATCCAAGCATCTATTTAACTGTCCATCCAACCGACTATCCAACCATTTATACATTAGTTAATTCATCGTTTTTTTAGTTAATATATATAATTAGTCAGATTAGTGATTTAAATGTTTTATCTTTAACCTTAGAACTGAAAAAATAATTTGATATATAAATTTTGGCTTATTTATAAAGTATGGAAAACAAAATTCTTAATTTTAAAAGATAAATATGCCAAAATAGATCTAAATGGCATGGTCGATATCCTAAAATAAACCGCATAAACAAAATTCTGTTGGTTTGTTTAAATGAAAATGCAAGAAAATTATTGAAATAATTTGATCGGTTAGTTGTAAACAAGTGCACGATACGATGTTTACTCTGCGCTCCTGTTTGCCGTATCAAATGTGTGGTAGCAATATAAACACAATAAGATGAACGAATTATTCAAAAAGTGATGATGAAAGTGATGATAGAGTAATGACAACAAGTCAATTATGATGATGTATTCGGTGATAAGAGAGAGAGAAATATTTGAGTGAGTGTGTGTCTGGATGATGACGGGCAATTTAAAAAACTGAACAACACCACCATGGTTATTAGAATATATTAGCAGAGACGTTTATATGCTAACGCCTATGTCAAAAATTGCGGTGAGGAAGACGATGATGATGAGGACGATGAAATTTTGAAATCTTGAGTGAAATCTTGAGATCTTAAGTTGATTTGAATGAATTCTAATCTTGAGTTTTTTTTAAGAAATTTAAAATGAGAAAGCAAATGAAATAATGATGTATAGATATTGAAAATGATGATAATTATGATGCTGCCAAAGGCTGTATGTTGTTAGTGACGATGATGATGGTGATGACGATGACGTTTAAGACTACGATGATCCCATGACACTTGTGAACGCAATTAATTCGGATCTTCATAAATCAGTCACTAGCCTGGCTTGAATATCAGATGTCTTCTCACTTCTCATTTGTCCATTTTTTTTCTTCATTTGTTTTCCCAATCATTCATTCTTTCGTGTAATCGTTCATTCGTTCGTTCGCTCACTTATTTATTCATTCTCCTGTTTAATCCTTCTATCATTTTTAATAGTTTTAATAGTTCAGATACCACAATGTAAATAATACAATATTAATAATATAAATAACAATAAAACAAAGAAAAAATTGTGAGTAGAACAATTTGAATGGATGAGTTTTTTAAACATTAATTTCAGCAATGATTTCATATTGAAATACATACATATACATACATATACCTACATATGCAAATCGAGCGTTCGTCGCTTAATCAGTGTTTGCATTGATAAGCCTGGATGAAATGATCTGATCATCGTTCATCATCATCATCTTGTTGTAATAATAGTGTTGATCAAGCACATGTTTGCGGTTTATGAACCAAGATATTCGGTCCAATTAAAAAAAATTATTTTTGCTAAATTTATAACTTATATTACTACTGTTATTATTAATAAATTATAACTTAATATATGTGTTTATTAAGAATATAAACAAATAAATGAATTAATATATATATATATATATATATATATATATATATATGTTTATATATATATATATATATGTTTATATAATTTATTTATATATAAAGTTCAACTGGTTCGCCTACTTGTGAGTTATTCAGATGGAAAGAGACACAGGTTTGAAAACAATTCCATTTAAAACTAAAACAATTGTAACTATTTCGTGTAAACAAATTGTGAATTAGATTTCGTCTTAGAGTTCTAACTAGTGAGGAAATTTTTTTAAACTTTTTTATTAAAACATTTTAATTCTGATTATTAACATTACAATTTAAAAAATATATTTTATGAATTTTACGATGTTATAAATGTTTTCAAAAGATTTATTTATTATTTCCTGTTTGATTAATTAAACTAAAAATAATTTATTAAAAATACTATGATTACGAACTTTAGTTTTCCTAGCCGAGATGTTAAAATTTTGTGAACACAAATTAAGTAAAAGTAGTTGAAGGGATTGCCTCGACCTCAGTTATTTATGCCTGTCATTCATAATATTAATCATTTTTTAACAATATTGTCAAAGAAAATTTTTATCTTTTCTTTTATTAACTATAGTTATTTTATTAGCTGGTAAGAGTTCTAGAAAGAATGTCTGAGCATACGTTGATACAACGAATGTTTATAAAAAAAACTTTGAGAATATCAGCAAAATAATCAGAACAACGGCGTCAACATTAGTGAAGAATTATTTATCAACCAGACAAATATAAATAACAATATTTCTTGAGAATTTTTCGAAGCGATAAACCGACAAACTATTGATTCAAACGTTCATCATTAACATCAAGTACAAAACCAGACTATTTTTGATTAATTAAATAATGTTACCATATCAACAACTGCAATATTTATTGCAGAAATCAGCAGAAATGAATCGAAAAAACGTGCCGAAAGAAGTAATTCTTTTGAAAAAATTTTCCACTCAACAACAGAAGCAAAATTTGTTTGAAAGCAATAGCAACCAAACCACCGTTAGTAGCAGCAACGTCATTAACATCAATGAAAGCAACAACATCAATGAAAGCAACAACATCAGTGAAGCCAACAACAACAATGAAACCAACGACATCCACACCACCAGTAACACTAATGACATCACCAACTCATCACCCGATTCTCAACGCCCCCTCCTTCAAACTATGGTCACCGACTTTTCCGCCAGCGGCAATTCACAACCAGGAACAACAGTCATCTACCCACCTATTGATCCAACCATCGATCCATTCACCAATCCGCCTCTCGATTCACTAAGTAGCCCCATCCCAAAATGGGCGGTTCGTAAGGTCCACGGATCGAAAGATGGGACGAAGAACGACAGTAATGAAAAAGGCGAAGAGGAGAGAGAGAAATGGGATAAAAAGTTGGATTTCCTGTTATCCATTATTGGATTTGCTGTTGATTTGGCAAACGTTTGGAGATTTCCTTACCTTTGTTACAAAAATGGAGGAGGTGAGTTGGCTGAATGATTGAATGGAATGATTGAATTGAATGATTGAATGGAATGGTTAAAATGTTAATGAATGGTTTAATGCTTATAAATTTCGATTATCAACTTTCATATCCTCACAAAATCTTCGCAAATGTAGAGTGCCAATAGAATAAAAAAACAAGTATGAAACATTAAATCCTAAAAACGATCTATGCTTAGCGGGGCATTCGTTTTTATGGGATAATAAAATTGGAGTTATTTTTTAGACCCTTCACGTATAAATAAAATAGATTTTTCAAGTGTTGCTCCTAAATTTGAACGCCATTATTATTTCATCTGCGTGTAATTGTGTAAAATTGTTTTGTTTAGGTATGCCTGGCTGTATGTATTCATTATTCATGACCACGTGTATTAAATGGAGACATTTTTTATTTACCATTTCTTCAGATTTCAATAAACAACCATAATTTTTGAAATAAAACCTACGCTTACTTGAATTATGTATTATAGTCATAATTTTTATTTTATGATGAGTGGATTCTACGCTTTAGATGATTGTTAGGTTTTTTTTCAATTTAATTCTTAAAAATAGCTTTCAATCTAATCTAACATCAGAGCAACGTATACTACAAACGGTCGACAATATTTTTAAAAATATGAAAATACGAAACAAAAATCCAATAACACTCAAAGTAATAATAATAAAAATAACAATAATATTAATAATGGTGATGATGGTGATGATAAATAATAATAATACTAATAATAATAATAAAATCTACCTAAAAAATTTCCCCACAAACAAATGACTAATCTTGTTGAGGTGTTATTAATTTTATTGACTGGCATGTGCCGGCTGATGTTAAGTGCTTTTATGGCGGGTCACCCAGGTTAACAGATCCGTGTTGCATTGCAGTTAATACTATTTTTTCATTTTTTTTCGTTTTTTTTTTATTAGGAAAAATAATGAATAATAATAATAACAATTGCTATTGTTATTGCTATTATTATAATTATATTTTTATTTTATGAGTGCGTCCTAACTTATGCGCCATTGGTTTGCGTTAAAATACCAATGACTGTAAAAAATAATCTTAATGACGTCATTCTCATTTTTTCTTTTACTTTTTCATTTTTCCCTGTCCATTCTCTCTTTCACTCTCTCTCTCCCCGTCTCTCTCTCTCTCTCTCTCTCTCTCTCTCTATTTCCGTTCGTCTCTTTTTTTTCCGTGTCTCTTCTCTCTCTATTCACCCATTTACCTTTTTTCCAATTTATGTCTCACTACCTTTCTTTTCTCTCTCTCTCTCTCTCTCTCTCTCTATCTTTTTCTATCTCCATCTCTTTCTCTACTCTCTACCCTCTCTTTTTAATTTATCACTTTATACATGATCGTCGTCTTCATCTCTACAACATCACAATTAAATTAATGCGTCATTTCTTCGTTGTAAATAATTCATTAATTTTTTTCATTTTATCTGGAAAAGCCTCTAGATACATTTCCGCAACAAAAATTTGAAAATAAACAGATCGAATTTGTTGATAGATGTCTGTATACAAATGTTTGTCGCATGTTGTATGCAACAAGTAGTATACAGTGTACACTATACATACGTAGACACAAACACACGCATTCATACATACCAACACATACTTACGTACCGTACATACAAGTTCTATGCAAATGTAAATAAATGTATAAATGTAAATAAATAGGTGTGATTATGAAATGGAAATTTGATAAATGAATGTAAATAAGTTCAAGTGTAAAGGCCATTTGAAAACAATTTAGAGTAAAAATGTGTGCATGCTCTGATTTACATTTCAACAATAATGATTTAAAAATTAATTAATAATAAAGATAAATTAAAAATAATTATATAAAATTAATAGTTGATGAAGTTAAAAAATTGTGAAAAAATGGAACAAACTTTTTTAAAAGATTATTCCTGTATATGGGAGTGTATGTATGTGTGAGTTTATGGATTTATGTGTGTGTGTGTGTGAGTCCTTGTGTGTGTGTGTGTGTGTGTGTGTGCGTGTGTGTGTGTAAAAATGAGTATGTTTGTATTGTATGTCTAAGAACATGTTAATTTAATTTTATCCAGTATTTTCATGTGTGTATGTGTCTAAATCTGTATGTGTATGTTATGTATATGTGTGTGTGCGTGTGAATGTGTGTGTGTCTGTGTGTGAATGTGTGTGTATGTATGTGCGCTGATTTTCAACGTCAACATGTGCGTCTAGTTAATTTTAATTGTGTTTGAAGTTTGTTGGCACAGCATTTAAGAATGGGGTCATGTCACATTGGCCTGTGTCACATGCTAAATGTTTCCAAATTGTCAATCTGATGATGTTTACGAGGATGATACTTATGATTATGATGAAGACGACGATTGTAATGATGATAATGATTGGGGTATGATGATAATGGTGATGATGATTACGGTTGGATGATGATGATGATGTTATTGGCGATGTCGTTAATATGGATGAAGGTTTCGCCGTTTTGTCAAATTAACTAGAATGATGATGACAATAATATCATTGAAGCCCCTTTCGATGAGCGAAAGAAATCATGCAGATGTGAAATGAACGACACATTGAACACAACCATCATTTTAAATACTCTATTTATGGAATTATAATTTTAAATTATATAAATAAATATTTTTATTAACTAAAAAGCTAAAAATAACGACAAAATGAATTACTCAAAAATTTTATCAATTAAAACACCAGAAGCATCAGTAGTTAGAAACCATAAAAAAATTATAATAAATTTTCACTCGCTAGGGGCATTTTTGATTCCGTACTTCGTGATTCTGGTGTTCGGGGCCCTTCCTCTGTTTTTCATGGAGCTGGTGCTTGGTCAATGCCACCAGGCTGGAATCATTGCTGTTTGGAAGATTGTGCCAATCTTCAAGGGTCGGTTGTTTGATTGGTTGGCCTGATGAGATGTTGTTTGATTGGTTGGCTGGCTGGCTAGCTGGGCGGTTGTTCGATTGGATTAGTGTGTGAATAGGCGATTGATTGGTTTACTGAGTGATTGTTGGATGGGCTGTTTGATTCTAACCCAAGGAATAGGCATTTGTCAGTGTCTCATTGCATTTTACGTCGCCTTCTACTACAACGTCATCATAGCCTGGTCCTTCTACTATCTCGTCCACTCTTTGACCTCTGTCCTGCCCTGGTCACACTGCAATAATGATTGGAACACTGAATTGTTAGTTTGGTTTCTGGTTGTTTTGCTTTCAGTTAATTTTTTCTTGCTTAAAATCCTATGAGATTAACTTGCACTCAATGAAAAAGTTAATACGCTATAATGATCAAAAAACTGATTTAATTTCAATTGTTGTTAAATTTAAATTAATCCAATTAGTTTTATAACTTTGTAATCAAATAACTAAAATTCCAACGACAGATGTCAGGATGAACCGACCTTTTACAACCAGACTCACAGAAACAGCTCTGCAATTATCAACGTTGATAGAACAAGTCCCGCCCAAGAATTCTTCGAGTTTGTGGTTTGCTAAATTTTTGATCGATTGAATGAATGAATGAATGATTGATTGATTGATTGATTGATTGAATGACTGACTGACTGACTGACTGACTGACTGACTGGTTGGTTGATTGATTGATTGATTGATTGATTGATTGATTGATTGATCGATCGATCAATCGATCGATTGATCGATCAATTGATTGATTGATTGTTAATGGATGGTTGACTAATTGATTAATTTTAGCATTGGACTGATTTGAAAAATAGATTGATTTGTAATTTTATAGCAGAACGATTGGTGAACTAATTTAATGTTGATTGTACTTTTGTTGTTGCATTTAAAATTGCTTTTATAATCATATTTTAATAATTTATTAAGAAATTTTCTTTTTTGTCATTACCGTTTGTGCTGTTTTGAAACGTATCCGCCTTCCCACCACTACGTAATTATTTCTTCAAACTTTTTATGATCAGCAAGCCTCTTATATATCTTTTTATCATTTTAACCCTATCAGAATTGTTTTATTTTCATGTATATGCAAACAACTGAACGTTATAATAGCAGCCAAAATTCATCGGTTCATCATCTCCAATGTCTTCATATTATTACAACTCTGACGTATGTCGCACCAGACGCAAAGCATTGGGACTACAGAATAGCCATGGTTTAGAGAACTTGGGCCCAATGAGGAACGAGTTGGTCTTCTGTCTCATGGCCGTCTTCATCCTCATCTACCTAAGCCTCTGGAAAGGTGTCAAAACGAGTGGCAAGGTCTGAATTGAAGTTGAAAATTTATTTCTGCTGCTGTTCGTAATTTATGTTTACGTAACCAGCGGCCCAACCATAACCCTAACTCAAATACTCACTCCAAGGTCGTCTGGGTGACAGCGACCATGCCCTACTTGGTCCTGGCCATCCTGTTCGTCAGAGGTCTGTTTCTGCCAGGATCACTGGATGGGATTTTTTACTACCTCATTCCCAACCTTTCTAAGATTGGAGAATGGCAGGTAGCGATATTGTGACTATGACGACGACGACCAACTATGATGATAGATGGCAAACGACTATGATGATGAAAATGAAAAATTACATTTTTTTGGCTTTTTTATTTCATAATTTTTGTTGATTACTTCTGGCAAATAAAAGTTTTCAATTGAATAAAAATTAATAAGATTAATAAGATGACAATATAATAATAATGAAGATTCAAATGATAACGATAGCTTGCGTTTTAAAAGCTATTTGATTGATTGATTGATTGATTGATTGACAAAAGCATTGTAACATGGATCCTAATGTAAAAATTCTTACTATGAAAACAGAAACAAAACTAATACCCCACTTATTCATCCTTTCTATCTGGGTATGTACCAGTTGAATTTTATCAAACACACACCAGGTGTGGATAGACGCGGCTGTTCAGATATTTTTCTCTGTTGGGGCAGGTTTTGGAGTCCACATCGCCCTGGCGAGTTACAACAAAACTCACCACAACTGCTACAGGTAGTGGTGGTTGGTTATTTCTTTTTTGTTTGTTTGTTTTTTTGTTGAGAACGTAGTTTATTTTCATTCGCTAGAATCTGGAATGTATCTCACTTTGTCTGGTACTATGGATTCAACTTGGAGTAAAATGAATGTTTTTTGTTTTTGTTTATTCACTGAGTATTTTAGCGCATTAACTAAAAAAACTGATCAAACCAACTGGGAAACAATTAACTAATTGAATTAACTTAATTTGCTAAAATCAGTTTGAATCAAATTAATTCAGTGATCTACTACTAAGACATCCACCAACCAACAATAAATACAGAGATTGTCTGATAACAGCTTGCGTCAACTCTGCCACTAGCCTCTTCGCTGGCTTCGTCATCTTTTCCTACCTCGGTTACATGGCCACTAGATATGGAAGAGAAATTTCGACTGTGGCAACTGAAGGTAGGTTGAGCAAAAGGGGTGCACGGTGGGGATATAAAAATATTTAAATTTATCTTTGCCATAACGCTTCACTATCATCTTATCGTCATCGTCATTATCGTCATAACAATATCAATCATCATCGCCATTGTCATCATCATCACCACCATCATCGTCGTCACCATCTTCATCGTCGTTGTCGTCATCACCATCATAATCATCCATAACAACAACTTAGGTCCGGGACTTGTTTTTGTGGTGTACCCTGAAGCGATCGCTACCCTGCCTGGCTCGGTCTTCTGGTCGATCATCTTCTTCATCATGCTCATCACGCTTGGGATTGATAGTGCCGTTAGTAATTAATATTATCCTGTCAAATAATTTCTATTGAGAGAGCCGACCATGATAAATTGCTTCACATTCAACAGCGTTTTTTGTTATCATAATTGCACTAGACCCAGGTATTTTTGTGTAGTAGTGGTAGTAGTAGTAGCAGTAACAGCAGCAGTAGTTGTAGTAGTAGTTGGTTATTTTCTCAATTGCTTACCAAATTATCAGTTATTAAATTTTTTCTGATCTACTCATGACTATCACTCAATTTAAGCTAGACACTCCTTTACACTTGGCAATCCACTCACTCGCTTACAATTTTTACTCGCTCTGTCACTCACACGTTGTGCTCACTTACTCACTCATTCATCCACTCACTCGTTCACCAATTCACTCATTCACTCATTCACCCACTCATTCACTCAGTGCATAAACTGAGCGCCAAAACAAATGATAAAACAATTTTCATCCGGCGTATAAGATGATTTATGACGTCAGTGGAAGTAGGCCAGCGCATCTCATTACGTCATCAGTACGGAGTTCGCATTCACGGCCGGCTTAACCGCTCTTTGCCTTTTATTCAATAACCCAATCTTTCTCCGACGCGCAAATGTATGCAGGAATATACGAAATGAAAGCCAAGGCGCGTGAAAGCGGTTGGGTAATTTGATTTTTTTTCCGCTCTTGTCGAGTTTTTTTCACGTTCGTAAATAATTCTTTGTTTCTTTTTCTTTCAGTATTTTTTACGTTAATGCTGTAATGTGATTGGATTGTAAAATTGATTTTATTTCTATGTGACTTTTTTTATTCTCTGGATATTTTTTCTGTTTTTTTTTAGCTTTTTTTTGCAATTTCTTCATTCTGAAATGTAATGAGTTCTGATTTTTACGAGATTTCATGTTGAAAGAGTTTTAAAATTGAACGCTTGTCAACTTCTCTTTCATCCAGCAGTTGTAAATGTCATTCTCATTCTCATTCCCATTACAATTTATTTTCTCCTCCATAACTTCATCATCACCATCGAATTCTGCATTTTCCATGGACAGAACTTTTTATCAGTTTCATCACGTTTATTTATTTGACTCTAAATCGTTGATTCCCATCTTCACTGCCACTGCAATATTATCAGCACCATTTCCGGCTTATCATTTTGATTGAAATAAAATCACACTGAACGTTATAAATGTCATCATCGTCGTCGTCGTCATCACCATACCACAACGACCACCACCACCACGACCACCACCACAACCAAAATTACCACCACCATCGTAATCATTATCACGACGAATAACCACACAGATGGGTGGATTGGAAGCCCTGCTGACTGGGATTAGTGACGTGTTCCGGGTGGAGTTGAAGAAAGTGAGGTTCTCACGGGAGCTGCTGACGCTTGTAGTCGTCGTTCTGGCGTTTCTCTTTGCCCTGCCAAATGTCTCATCGGTAAGTAAGGGGTGATGATGTTGGCGGAAAATTTGTAAAAAAATGAAAAGTATTTTGCAAATTGTGAAGTCGTAAAACTGTGCAGGATTTTTAACTAAAAAATAACGAAAAAGACGATGATGATGTTTAAATTAAAATGATGGCGAGAGGGATAACGATGATGATAATGTGACTAGATGCAATTGAATTGGCTTCTTCCGTTCTAATTTTCTACCTAGTTAATACAAAGTCTATTGCTGTCGGGGATGATTTAGCGAAGTATAAACAGGACAGGGTAGCGCGTACCAGAATGAAGTAGATTGGATTATGGGTGATTATTTATAGCAGACAGGAATCTTTTGTGTGAGCGTGTTTCGTAGTTTGGCGGGTCCCTCTTCACAACGACACCGGCGCATTCATGCTTGTCATCATTCTTCACCATCGTTATAATCACCAACGAAGCAACGTCTGCATGCTCATCTCCAGTTTTATTGTTATCCATTTTATTGCCATTATTTTTATTATTATGATTATTATTATTATTATTACTATTATCATTATTATTATTATTATCATTATTATTATTCTTAATGTAATTATTTTAATTACCGTTTTTGTCATCTTAACTTGAACGTTGCCAGTTGAATCAGCAACATTGTCATTATTATCATCGCTATCGTCGTCGTCGTTATCACCATCATCATCACCATTACTACTATCACCACCACCACCATCATCTCCATCACTACCAACATCATCATCTCCATCACCACCAACATTATCATCAACCCCGTGAAGGGTGGTGTATACCTGGTGACATTATGGGACGTGTTTGCCACAGGGCCTGCCATTTTGTTTGGCGTGTTGATGGAAGCAGTTGCTGTCAGCTGGTTTTATGGTTTGTTGTTTCATTTCATTGTAGTTGTCATTGTCGTTGTCTCGTCTCGATGTCTCGTCATGATGTCTCGCCTCGTTTTCTCGTTTCGTTGTATCATTGCTATGGCAATCGTTATCGTTAGTTTCATCATCGTTATCGTTGTCTTCATCATCCTAATCATCATTGTCGTCGTCATCATCATCATTATCATTGTCGTGGTTGTTGTTGTCGTTACTACCATTTTTACTAACATCATCATTTTCATCTTAATCTTCTTTACTTTTTTTTACTAGTGTCAGCATTACCGTAAGTTAAATGACGATGACGTCAATGATGATGATGATGATTATAATTACCACCATCATCATCATCATTGCCCCAAGGGTTGAATAATTTCTGCGCGGACATACAATATGCCCTGGGTTTCTACCCCAGCATCTATTGGAGGATTTGCTGGAAGTATATCAGCCCCCTACTGCTATTGGTCGGTTGTGGTGATGATGATGGTGATGATCATAATGATGATGGTAATGCTAATGATAGTAATGGTAAAAAGGACAATAACAATGATGATGAAAGCAATGATGATGACGACGATGATTGTGAAGTTTTCCATTATAATCTTTAATACTAATAGCCCTAATCCCATTAGCCAATCCCAATCAACCCAATGGCAATCCCTTCACAAGGTCATGATACTTTCCAGCATCATATGGTTCGAACCACTGCGATACATGTTGAACACCAAACAGCACTACGTCTATCCCGGCTGGGCCAACGTGCTCGGTTGGATGATCACCTCGTCCAGTATCATCTTCATTCCTCTGACCGCCCTCTATCTGCTCACCTGTAAGGGACGCCGGACTTTCAGAAAGGTGGGTTGTGATGATGAAATGATGGTGGTGCAGATGGTGGTGATGAATGTCAGAGTCAGATCGGATTAAATTTTTTCTAAATTCTGCAAGTGTATTTGCGATTTATCATAAATTTTATTCGATTTTATTACTATTTTTATCATCTTAATGATATAGATTGTCGCCACGTCATTATCAAATACGTTTTGTATCATCATTTAAAGGTATCATCATTCAAAGGTATCATCATTTAATGACATCATCGTCTAATGAAATCATCATTCAATGACATCATATTTATCACTTGGGTCATCGTCATATCACCATTGACGCCACTTTTGCTGCATAGAGGAACAATTCTTCTACGTCAATTATATGATCGCTTACAAAACTGCTATCCACCATTACATATTATCATTCCGTATCATTTCTGACCCAAATTTAGAAAGCTTTTGGTTTTTTTATCAACATTATTCATATTATACGTCGCCATTTTAGCTTTCATTTGCCGCATGAATTAGGTTTTCACCGAAAATAAGAACAAAAGTTTTTCATGTCATAACTATTTAATTTGTTATTTCAATTCATTCAATTCATATTCATCATAATCGTCATTGTGATACCATCATCATCAAGATCACAATGCAATACAATACAATACAATGCAATGCAATGCAATACAATACCATACATTACAATACAATACAATACATTACTATACATCACAATACAATACAATACAATACAATACAATACAACACAATACAGCAACAATAATCATAAACTATCACCAAGCAATAACATCATAAAACATCATCATAATTACCATCACGACTATCACATCACTACCACCATCCGTGATAATAACCATCCCATCCTCTTCATCACCATCACCATCATATTAATCACACTTCATCAACGTTTTCGTCATTTCCACAACAATTTTCAGCCACATCTCTCTCTATCGCCTTCATCTCTCGTTTAGTTAGTACGCTTCATTTGTTATTGAAACTTAAGAACGCTATCACCACACACACACACACACACACACACACACACACACACACACACACACACACACACACACACACACACACACACACAGTCATACACTTACGTCATACACTTACATACGCATATAATTGCTATATCATATCTATGATTATACAACTCATATATTTTCTACGTTGGTCCTAATTATTTTTACGAGGGCTTCTTTTATGTGAAGCGGTTTCATCTCCTTGCATTCACATTTGAAATTTTCATTTATTTATCCGTGATGACTCTTTTTTCAACATTTTATTTTTGTAACAGCGGTATGACCAACACTGCTGTTGGGACGCTTTTTGATTTGCAGTAATTTCTCTCAGTAGACACCTCATTGTGGCATTATATGACTGATTGCTTTGATGGGTGTTGTGGTTGAAGCCGCTGCTATTGCTACTGCTGCTGCTGCCGTAACGACGACGACGACGACGATTGATGGCGATAATGGTGGTGATGAGAATGATGACGCTTATGATAGCGGTAAATTGAATCGTAAAATAATTCAACGTTAATTAGGAAATTTATGAATTCGTGATTTTGAAATTGATGAAATGATTAAAAAATGTATATCAAATGTGAGGATGTTGATTAAAACTTAAGATTTAGCAACTCTCGTTGATGATGATAATTTTTTTTTCGCTCTGGGCAAATAATATGTGTTTCGTTGTAGTAATTGTGATGGTTGTGAAAATGTTTAAAATTAGCTGCCAGGATTAAAATGATGGTTACAATAGAATTAGTTATTATCAGTTTGGATAAGGCCCATTTTACATTGAATAACACGGTCATAATGAATTTCACAAACGATGAATCTTAGAAAGAAAAAAAACATACAAGAAAGCTTGACAAGATGAAAGTTAAAAATGAATGAAAATGACGACGACTACAATGATGATGATGATGATAATAAGATAATAATAATATTAATAATAATAATAATAATGATGATGATGATGATGATGATGATGATGATGATGATGATGATGATGATGATGATGATGATGATGAAATAATTGGCTGAGATGATGAAGTTGACGATGATTGTAGCGTTGGTGATAGTGATTGGAGAATTGCAATTAAGTGAGACTACACGTCATATTAACGTCGTAAATATCATCCGAACCGACGCCGCTCTCGTAATTATCATCTTCGTCATCATCTTTGTCATCATCTACGTCATCATCTTCGTCATCATCTTCGTCATCATCTACGTCATCATCTTCGTCATCATCTACGTCATCATCTACGTCATCATCTTTGTCATCATCTACGTCATCATCTTCGTCATCATCTTCGTCATCATTTTCGTCATCATCTTCGTCATCATCTTCGTCATCATTTTCGTCATCATCTTCGTCATCATCTTCGTCATCATCTTCGTCATCATCTTCGTCATCATCTTCGTCATCATCTTCGTCACCTATGTTTTCTTTTCTGTTTTCATATTTGTCGTCATCATCTTCATTTTCACCATTTTATCAGATCCATCTTCATAAATATTTCACCATCAACATCATTCCAACTATCATTTTCATCATTCTTACTTTAATTTTTATTTTTATTAAATAAGTGTGAATGATGATGATAATGACGACGACGATGATGAAGATGATGAGGATGAAGATAAAGATGATGATTAGCATTTTCAAAAATGACGATAGTTTTGAAAATAAATATAATGATGATGGTGAATATTATAGTTATCGTTGAGTGAATGATGAAAAAGATGATGACGATGACGACGATGATGAAGTTGATGATGATGACGAAGACGAAGAGAACAACTACTCCAGTGGCCAGTATCACGAAGTGTTTTTATTGCACTTTATGTTAATAGGTTTTGCAGCGATATGTGTTTTATCACCTCTCACGCACACACACACACACACACACACACACACACACCATCAGCTCTTCTTCCTCATTTTTTATATCATTTCCACCACCATCATCATCATTATCATCACCATCACCGTCATCATCACCATCATCTCCATCATCATCACCGTCATCTTTACCATCATCATTACCATCATCATCATCGTTACCAGAAGCTGGCACTCAACATATCCCCGTATTGGGAACACGAAGAAATAGAAAATGGCGCCGAAGTCACAAGGTTCAAGGTGAGGACGATACTATTATCATAACCTTCATCGTCATCGTCATCATCACTATCATCACCATCATCATCGTCATCATCACCATCATTATCTTCATCGCCGTTATCATTATTAACGTCATCGCCAATATCGTCATCGTCATCTTCGGCATCATCAACAACTTCCATAATAACTTCAGATCGGCCACTGGTTGAAGTTTCCAAGAAAGAGATATTAGTGGAGACACGATATCAATCGATCAATCAACTAAGTCAACCACAAACAGCCAATCAATACACCAATCAACCATTCAATCAACCATTTAATCAATCATTCAATTAATCATTCAATTAGCTAGTCAACCATCCAACCAACCACAGTTCAATTAAACAACTTATTCACTAAACAACGAGCCAATCAACCAATCAGAAAATAAATCAGTTATATGATTAATCAATCAATCACTCAATCAATCAACCAATCAATCAATTAATCAGTGAGTCAACTAACCAGTCAGCAAATCAAAAAATTATTCAGCTGTTTAACTAATTAGAAAAATATTTCAATCATTTCAAATCTAACTATGAAATACACATTTATCAACAATTTAGCTATTTAATTTTTGTTAAAAAACATGTTAAACAAATTTCGCGTAATTAATTAAATAATTATTGATATTGATAACATTATTTGTTTGTTAAATTATTCATTTGTTCAACTGTTGCTTCCGATAAGGCATTACAATTATTTTAAAATAGTTTTAATTATTAAGAAAAATTATAATAAATGTTTATTATTGCCATAACAATATTTATTATTATTATTATCATTTTTCTATTTATATTTTTCTGTGTTTCTTATTCTTTGCTAGTCAAATTTCTTTTCGCAGCTGTTTAGTTAATGAGCGGACCTGACGCTTTGATGTTCGCTACATTTTAAAATATCACCAACGATTTCAATAATTTTTTTTTCTTCTTTTTATGATAGTCTATAGTTTATAGTAGAGATAGATGATAGTTTAATTACTATCATCATCATTATCATCATTACCATCACCGTCATCATCATCATCGTCATCATCATAATTGTTATCACCATCATCGTTACCATCGTCATCATAATCATCATCATTATTACCTTCATAATTTTGTCAACCTTTATCATCATCAACCTTTATCATTACCGGCATGGTTACGATTAAATATATCATCATTACGTCATCACCGTCATCCTCATAGTCGTCGTCATCATCTCCATTGCCATTTGATTGCAATCATTGGTATAAATTATTGTACAATTTCTTCGTCTTCGCATAGGATTATAAAGATGAACTTAAAATTTGTTTCATTTAATTTTTTTAGAGTAAAAAAACTTGCGAAAAAAATAATTGGAATTGGAACCAGGTCAGAAACAAAACATAATACTTTTAAAATATTTTTAATGAAAATTAAAAAAAGATAGTAGGAAGAAAGAAGAAAAAGTTAAAAAAGTAGAAAAAGCGCCATTTTAAGGAATGAAATGACATAAAACATGATTAAGATTAACCGGACAAGCTGAACAAACAAACAAACCAGCAGTAGCAGACAGACTTGAACAAATATCATACAATCACACTCACACACGCACACCTCTAGACACTTTGTAAATACCCTTACACACGTGCATAATACAATATATATTTAACGGAAAATTTTTACTTTTCAAGAAACTAATGCCGACACGACTTTAAAATAAACATTGTAATTCAAATATCTACAAACAAATTTATACATTTCTGAGCAAAGCACCGCATACACCACACACACACACACACACACACACACACACAACACGGATCCACACACGTAGACACACACACACAAACATGCACGCACACACACACAACACAAGCACATGTGTACATTCATCAACAAATTCAAATGTGAAAAACCCCATAAGAGCAAATAGAGAGAATAATTGGGAACATTTTTCATAAGTCCATGCCATAGATAAAGCAAAAAACAAAGAACAATGATACATAGAACAATAACACTGAGAAAATGTAAACATTGCCAGCAATGAATGCAAATGAGGCAATTTGGCGGAAAAGCTGAGTGATAAAGAGGGATTATGTCATGTAGGTCATAAATTGTCATCAGCATAGAAACAACAAAAAATAAACAAAGAATAAATTATTCAGACCTTAATTTTTGTAATAAAGCAAGCAACCTTTGCGGAATTTTGATGAGAATTTTTGTTTCAAAATTTTTTAAAAATATATTTAATAAAAACATTAAACAAAATGTTTAAAATATAAATTAAAATATTTTTTTTATAGATTTTTGTCTAAAAACTTGTTAAAAATAATAAAAAAATCAAGTATTTAAACCATATATCCATGATTTAAACACTTCAAACTTGACAAAAAACAAAAATTCCAAAACAAAACATTGAAAAAAGAAATAGCTCGTAAAAAAATTTACAACACAAAAAACAAAACATAAAAACTAAAAAAATTAATCTGGAATAATATGCCTGGAGGACAGAAGTCTTTTTTTGCATGATCATTGAAGAAAGTTTTTATGGAGGGCGGTCATGCCGTCGCCTGGCACAATACAAACTACCCTTACCCCTCCCTTCTAAAAACTTCAATTTTTTCAAATATTTTTTCACAAAGTTTTAAATCCAAAGTATATTTATTTATCTTAAGACAAAATGTTAGTATGTAACAAACTGTATATATGAGTGAATACGTAAATTGTATAGGATCAATTTCAAATAAATTTCGTCAATTTAGGTAGCATAAAAAGTTTATGGGGGGTAATCGTACCAAAGTATAAATGCGTGAACGAATGAAGAAATGGATAGATGGATGGATGGATAAATGAATTGAATGAATGAACGAACGAACGAATGAATGAACGAATGAAAGAAAAAAAAGAATAAAAGAATGAATGAACAAACAAACGAATGATAAAGCTCAGGAATGATGAAATGTCAGAATTAAAAATAGTAAGAATAAAATTTCATATAAATGAAAATAAATAAAAATCCCTGCCGATGTCCATCGATAAATTTATATATCCGTAATAATGGTCGGTATCCGATGAGAATATACCGGCTCGTACGTTAACCGAGTATCATATAATATTTAATTGATTTGTGGTAGCGCTCTTAATCATAATCGTCACCATCTTTTCGTCATCATCGTCGTCGTCATCGTCATCTTCACCAACATCATCGTTGTCGTCATCATCTTCACCACCATCACCGTCGTCATTATGTTTGTTGTGAACATATCACCGTCAATGTCATCACCGCCGTTTTCTTATTCACCATTAAAATCGTCACCATCATCCTGTCCCTCACGGTCACTATCGTCATGGTTAAATTTATTATCAACATCGTCATCATCATCATCATCGGCGTCATCATCATCATCTGCGTGGTCGTTATCATTTTCATCCTCATCCTCTTCTTCAGTGACGTTGTTAGCAGCTGCATCATTACCATCGTCCTCATCATCATCACCATCATCATCAACACCGCCATCCCCATTTCATCACCATCGTCATCATTGTAACACACGTCACCATCAGTGTCGCTATTACATGCTGCAACTAACAATTAGTGCAGAAATTATAAATAAGGAGGGGACGAAGGAGGCTTATAGAGAAAAAGCGTTTTTCCGGAAACGATGACGTCATCAAGCC